TATTTTTCCGAAGCTTGCAAAGGACCATGTCTTTTTTTAATTTTTTTTCATAGATTCGTGACTTAACGAAGTTTCTGGGGATAACTTGGCACGACTGTACTCTTTATCAGTATTTATTAAAATATCTATAAGAATGATACTAATTATAATGCTATCCATAACTTAGATATAAGTGAAATATATACGAACTCCATTTGTTTCAAAGATTCAATGCAAACGATTTGGTAACGAAACACCCCTGAGTCGTTTAAAGTAAAGCAAATCAAGTACTATACATTTTACAACTAGTAGAAAGGTAGGTGAATTTCAAAAGTTGATAGTACCATACAGTGTTGCCGCTGAAATTATTTGTAGGTACCAAAACGCCTACCACGGCAGTGTTCAAGCTACCAACATTTTTTCCATCAATAAAACGAGATTTCTTTAATTAACGCGGTTTTTAACTACACAAATTAGCAGCAAAAATTAAAACTACACATAATAATTGTGTCTACAGTATTGGTTAACCATTCATACTAAACTTTAAGGTTAAACAAAACAAATTCGGGCCTTTAAAATATAATAATTAAGGTATTGTATAAAATATACTTAAATACCTTTGAGATTAATTCAATACGTAACAAACATTTTTTTGAGTGTTAAAAAACAAAATCACTTCCCACCAGACAATTTTTGTTGCCGGACATAAGAAAACTTGTCGCCCTAAGCAACAAATTTATTGCCGGCAATATCGCCATCGTATCGATTTCTTATTACCAGTCGCTCTAAAACGTCCGCCACAGGCAACTCGCCTGGGCGAGTCGTTTTCTTATTACCTGAATGAGTCGTTTTATGATTGCTACAAGCGATATTTAAATAATAATTTCTTGCAACAATTTTATTATTTCTCAATGTTTCATTTGTTTTTGAACTCAAACTTATAATTTGTAAACGAAATTAACTATTTTCGTCTCTATGGAGCTTCCTAATTTTTCAACCCTTTCTTGGGCAGAAATTATATGTTTTTGAAGAATCCTGTTGACGCGGAGTTCATCAGTCTGGGAATTTTTGAAAACATATTCCTAAAATGACATAAAAGAAATAATGTTTCCGATTTCTCCCTACGGCAATAAATCGGCGAGTCGCCAATTTGTTGCCATGGACGATTGTCGCCTATTTCTCATGTTTTGCATGGTGGGTTCAGTAAAAAAAATCCAATTTTTATTAAATTTGCATACATTCACCCTTTTTTACGAATACACTCACACCTTGCATATTTCCTATGCAATTTTTCCTTCAACACGTTAGGTAATTTCTCGTTCTATTTCAGCAGCTGATCGGGCATATGTAACTTTGGGAAGTGAGTTTTTATGTGCAGAAAATTGTTTGCTTAATAAAATATAGAAAAAAAGAACAAAAAAATCTTATAAGTGTGATCAAAGTGAAAGCAATGCTCAATTTGGTTGTACAGTGAAACCCGCTTAAGTACCCCCCGCTTAAGTACCTAATCCGCTTAAGTAACCAACATTTTTGGGCAATGTGAATTTTTGAATGTAATCTGAAGAAAATCCCTCTCTTAGGTACCTCCCCGCTTATTTACCCAACCCGCCTAAGTACCTACATTTTTCGCGCCACATTTACAATTTTACTTATAATTTTCCCCTTTTAATTGCTCTTTTAAAATTCCTTAAAATATTTACATATTTTGAAATTCAGTGGCAGCGTCACACACCTTCGGCAAAAAGTTATAAAAAATCAATGGTAATTTTTAGCTACTTAAAACTTGCACATTATTACACTAAAATTGAACGGGCTAAAGAAATGTAAAATTTTGGTGAATTTTTTTCCTTAAGGTCCGGTTACTCAATGTCTGTTTAATACTAATCTGCGGTTAAACATAGTTATCGACGTCTTCGACTCCATGCATACAACAGGGAGTCGGTAACGTCGATAACGATGTTTAACCTGTAGTTAATGTTAACCAGACATTGAGTAACCGGCCCTAAGTGTTCTATAAAATCTTAAGCTTAGGTTTATATGGTATTTGTTAGGGAATGAACTATATTTCAATTGAAAAATCTTAAACAATGCTACGGTCTTGGTTTTAAACTACGTATACTTTATTAAATGTTCATGTCTTGTTCAAGGATTTACATATTTATGTAAGTTAACAAAAAGATGGAACTACATCAGTAATTATGTTCGCTTAAGTACCCGCATCGAGGTAATTAAGCGGGTTCTTTTAAGTACCCAACCCGCCTAAGTACCTAAAAAAGCTGAAAATCGTGAGGTACTGTATACTCAAAACATTTTTGCCCACCAAAGGCTTCATCAAACCAACCAAGCTACCAAAGGAGAGTGAAGCTACCAATCAAAACGGCAACGCTGGTACCCTTTATAGCTGAAAACGACTCTTTCATTTGACAAGTGCTTCATACAACGCCTGTTTATTATTTAAAAAGTATGCACAGATTTGTTAACATTACTTTGGTATACGTACAAAAAAGAAATTGAAAAAGTATTCTCTATTTCTTGATAAATAAGTAAATACTCTACATAAGTATTTGTGTCTCTGTATATTTGCATATTTGCATGTTTCTTCGTTTGCACCGGTCGATATCTAAAAACTCGATTAAAATAGGAAATCAAAACATACAGCTCGAAGGAATTCGCTCAACTATCCCAAATAAACTCATATAAGTAAAACACGTTCTTTTCCCACAGCAGAAACAAGATTATTTCGCCTAGCAAACGTGTCTGCTCCTATTGTCGATTACTCGTAGACAAATGTTCTACATCAGGTAGCCGACAGTAGGATAACAAAGACGAAAATGTGCAAGGATAATGTGAGTTGTATTCAAATTAACCAGGCCATTGTCATGTTTCTATATATATCACCATTGTTATTGTTTTCACATAATACATATGTACATATACGTATGCATTAGGACGGGTCACCAGAAAAAAAAAGCCATGTCAGATTAATTCGTGGGCTGAACAGCATTTACAATACCTCTAAAAAGTATAGTTGCAATCAGGGCCGGATTTATTTTAAATAACGTCCTGTGCCTTGTGAAAATACTTGAAATATTTGGAAAAAAAAGTGTATTCTACGGCGCGCCTGACAAAGCAGAAAACGTTTGTGCAATTGCCAATTATTTCGATCCCATGTTCGGTCCGACATATTTTTTTGGCGAAAAAAGATTTACTGATACTTAAAAAAATCTAAATTGCTGCATTGGGGGAAAACCTCAAAAATATTACTGAAACTCAATAAAACTTAAAAATTTTAGACTAAATATTTTTTCCACAAAATTAATCAAACTTTCAATTAGCTTCAGATTTTTTAATGGGTTTTAATGAATTCTATACGTGAAATGAGCTAACACCTATTCGAGGACTTCAGGATCTGTCAAACTTTGGAGTTTTCATGTACTGCTGCAAATCAGAGACTTCATCTGAACGTTGTTTAAAGCTAAAGAAACGGGCTAAATATTTATATATATAAGATGATCATGATTAGGGTAGCCAGATATTATAGTGACATAATTAGTACAGTTGGGATCAAAAATCAGTGAAAAGCATTAAAAATCAGCTAAGTTTTAAGCTTTTTTTCGCTTATTAACAAAATAACTACCACTAATTTAACAAAAAATAACTAATAGACGTTTAAATACATAAAGTATTTTTGATATAACAATTCCTTGGTTTAAAACAAATCAAAGATATTAGGTATGCATGTACAATTTTGTTCACAAAAATAGTAGTAAAATATATTGACAAGTTTCTTGCCTTATTTTTATGAAAATATAGTTAATTCTATAACAAAAACCCTGTAAGTTGAAGTCTCAAACTTTTCATAAAATTAACAAAAATTAAAAAAAAATGCTCCACAAAATTAACTTTTATAAACTTTATAAAATATTGGAGTTCGCAGTTTTGTAGCACATTCAGTTTCAGTAGAAGGCGAGCTAGAGTCAGAATTTGTTTGCATATTTTAAGCTACAAATTTAATAAATATTTTGATGGTGTGCTTATCAAATACAACATACACATTAAAATTCTAACTGAAAGGGTATAATACCAAATCATCGCTAAACGAATTTTCGAGTCCGAATAAAATTGAATAGTGTTAAATATGTTTGTGCAAGTAAAATTTACTGGTGGTCGAATATCAAAAATCAAAGAAAAGCTATATATCGTCACCTGAAATTCAAAAAAGGCGTAACAAATATCATCGTTGAAACGCAGAAAGTCATAACTAATAAAAAAATTAAAATTCACTTTCTGATTTATGATGGATTTCATCGAATTACAGCTGTCCACATCATTTTATAAAAAAAAAAAAATATTAGTCACACCTTTTTCTATTTCACTTACGATGTGGTTACGTCTTTTTGCATTTCAAGTGACGATATATCATATACAAGAGTCGGCAGTTTGCAACTATTCCAAATTTTTAGAACTTACATTGCACAAGAAGCACAAAAGCAGCAGTAATCGTCTTCAGTTTGAAGTACTAACTCTGTTCCAGGTGCTTCCCGATGTACAGGTTTTTACAGGAAGGCTCTCCTGGTCGCCACCTTCAATAAAGTTTATTAATGGCGAAGACAGCTGTTCCTGTAAAACCTTCAAATCGTGAAGTACCTGGAACGGGGTTATTATGTTGGGTAGAATTCAAGCAGTTGTTATTTTGCGAAATGCTAGGAAACGAAACAATTGCAAGGTGACACCTTTTGAATAAGGGTTTAAATTTATTTAGCGAGGCATTTTTAGGACTAAATTTAACAAAACTCAGATTTCATTGCTGATTTCGGCAGAATATCCGTACGTTAATAATATTTGTAAAGGTTTTCGGAACTGATAGAAAATATATAATTAGCTCTTAACATACACGTCGAACCCCCTAAAACCATTTTATTACAGAGAAAAATTTTAAGACTTACGATACTACGACGCTTAATACGCCTAGTGAATCCCATAATAGTGTGTTAAATTCTTCTTCTTTATCCTTCTTACAGACGCCGATCTTACGGAAACGGACTGTGTGCGCTACGGCAAGTGCAAATGGTTTAATGTGGCAAAAGGTTGGGGCTTTATAACGCCGCATGACGGAGGCCAGGAGGTGTTTGTCCATCAGGTAAAAATATAGTATTCTTCCTCCTATTTATGCTGATTTACAATTTTAACTGCAACAGAGTGTCATACAAATGTCCGGCTTCCGATCACTGGCCGAGCAAGAGGAGGTGGAATTCGAATGCAAGCTAACCGAGCGAGGGCTGGAGGCGACTCGTGTCAGCGGCAGCAAGGGACTGGATTGTACTGGCAGTACCTTTCGGCCGCGCACAAAAAAGCGACGACGCGTACGCTGCTATAATTGCGGCAAATTCGCCAACCACATTGCGTCTATGTGCCCGCAGGAACCGCAACCAAAACGCTGTCATATATGCAAATCCGAATCCCATTTCTTTGCCGATTGCCCAACGCGGCTGGTGAGTGGTGGAGACTTTAATTAAAAATAATAAAAAAGATTTAATTAATCATCATTCATTTCATCTCATCCCTAAAGGGACTCTCAACTGAATCGGAAGAAACTCAACACAACGATAATGAGCAAAGTGATGCTGCAGCCACGTGAAAGTGGGGAATGGGCGGGGGCCGTGGGATTGCAATAAATGGCAAGCATTTCTCTTGTGAAATTTTTTGCAGTTTTCTGCACTTTCGTTTACCTCTTCATGCCGCCAGTTTGACAAATGCTCATGAATGACATTTGGTAAGGCACTTTGGCAGAGGAATTTTAAGTACAAACTTATAAAAATAATACGATTTTCCTATATTTAAATATTATTTTTGGACGCTATTAGTTTAAAAGACATGTTTCATACATAAGATTAAGTAAGTTAAGAATCGCTCAGGTATCACATAGTAATTATGAACACTGTAAGATAATTTACATACATACATATCGTGGATGCCTTTGCAAAACCGCCTAAATCGCCGTTGTGGCAAATATGAGATTTGGTTACCATGAACTCCAGGCATCGCGATTTATGCATACAAATCTTAAAATATTTATTAAAACAATAGATTTGCTAGAAAAAATAACGCCTATCAAGTCAATACACCCGGCATGAAATGGGACTAGTTTGTAGCTAACTATTAACTAACTAGCAGTCGCCTACTGGTAACTATTTATTAGCTATTTCCTTTGGTTGTAACCAGTTACTTTTGAAGGGCGATTGCCGCAAAATAGTGAGAACTGGTTTCCTTTGCATTAGATGTCAACTAACTTGTAGCTAACTACTTTTGGACTTAAACTATCAATAAAAAAAATTTTAAATTTTTTTTATATTTTTATTTATTTACATATTTTATTTAACATTACGTATTTGCTTATGTGTTTACATATTCTTTCGTAACTGGTCTCCTATTTTAATTCGATCAGACATAACATCAAAATGATAGTATAAAATTTTGACCTTTATTTTATTTGTCCCGAATACGAAAAAGAATCTGCGAAGTGTAGAAAAAAAGTTTATTGAAAGTAATTTTTGTATGAGGATATTTAAATAGAAACTTGTAAAGAAAGCAAACTCCCGATAACGTCTGCATGACTCCTGCACGACTTTATAACTAAATTAAGGTTAGTTTTATCATAGCTAAATAAACGTTAGTTATTTATCGAAATCCCGCAAAAAGCCTAACTAGAAGTTGGTTATTTTAATCAATTGATAATTTTTTCTGCAGGGATGCCTTAAAAGAAAAACAGGTTGTTCGCTCTCCTGTAAAATCTGAGTGCCGTAAGATAAGCGGTTTTGCAATTGATCGATGGGCGGTTTTACAAAGGCATCGACGATATGTACAATTTTAAGTACAACATCCATTAATGCGTCTATCAGAAAGCCAATTTTATTGAAACTAGGCTTGCTACTTAAGTATGGAAATATTGAAACACGAATGTGAAGATGTCATTATTTAGGCGCGACAGCTAACACCGGGCGCGTAAATTCGTGTTATGTACTGCTGCATTTGCTAAAACTTCCTTTATCCAATTTAAGAAATTTTTGCACATGCACTTCTCAACTGCTACGTAATTGAACTTTCTTAAGTTTCAATTAGATGGCCCTTCAAAGGATTCTCGGCCTAGTCTGATGCATCCTCTGGACACTGCTTTCGGAGCATTTTGCGAACTCTGCATAGCTTACAACCATGCAGAGGTGGTAAACGAACTTTACCATTGGCCAAAGTGCCTAAATATAATTTCTGTATATAAATACATATTTTCTGTATATACATAAATGTCATAATACTGGTCTCCCCTCTCACTGAGTTATTCAGTCATTGTAAAGCAAACGTACTCAGAATGCTTTGTCATAGAAGAACGGTGACCATCCGTTAATCCTCTTTTTTCGTCCATTGTCCTGGTACTTTATTTATTAAATACGGGACGCCAAATGTTCTGTATTTCCTTTGATGTCCCTTAATTGTCCCGTACTCGGTATTTTGATGCCCTAAAAGTTCATAGAAGTGGCATGCCAATTAAACAGTTTGCATTCTTAAATCTGGACGCTTGTGACTCAAATCTAGGAGCACATATGAATGGAGATGGGTTCTGAAGTTTTAATTTTGCGTAGAGAAACTGGGCATTTGTGAGTTTGAATAGAAATTGGACGATAATGATTATTGCTCAAATTTCTAAAAGAAATTTCACTAGTAGCTTTTCATTTTCCTTCTGTTGACTTAACTTTTTTCGAGAAATTCGTCCTTAAATTGGTATTTTTGTTTTAAGTTTATTCTTAAATTTCAAACTTTGCTATCACCTGTCCAATGTACTGTGGTGAGTGGCAATCTCCAAATTTTGCGAAGAGAGAAAAACTCATTAGGCAAAACTAGGCCAACAAAATTATTGCTGATTTTATGAAGGAATGTATCTTCAATATGAGAAACTCTAAATAAGAAGGCTTCCAGGAAAATGTTGTAAAAGTGGAGAAGTCCTTCATTATCGAAGCGAAGTTGATCCCTTCAAAGGTACGCTTTGCAGTTCAGCTCCTACCGGATGCTATGCACTGCATTGTGTTTGTTTGAAATCTGAGTCTGAAAATAATCCGTTAAAAAAACAACTTCTACTTCAAAAGTAGTCTGATATTTTCATCATATTTCCCCAAACCCGAGCACAAAGTAAAAAGTTATGGAAAAGTATTCTACAATTGCGTGATGTTACAACTGAATATTTACATATCTCTGTATTGGGAAAATTATTTTATGCCCCGTATTTGGCTGCCATAAATATGGTCAACGTATGGCATTTGAGTTGCTAACAGATACTGAAAAAATTCAATCCAAAAAGTTTATATTTGAGCGAGGTCAAACGTTAAATACCCGGCGCAGGTATTAAATATCGTTTGTTTCACATTTCCGAAAACTCCTTGGTTAGAAGGGGTGGTTTCAGCCCTGTTTCAACATCTTCGATAGTATGTTCAGTTAGACTTAATGAGATAAACTTATATAGTTATAAGTGGGCGGTTTCACGCCCATTTTCCCAAATTCCATAGTAATGTTACTTATTTTCAAGAGATTATTGTGACCATCAATTTTGAGTAAATTAGCGTCCTTAAATTTCAAATATCGAAGTTTCAGCATTTTGGAATACACCGTGGTAAGAAAAGTGGGCGTAAACTTCGTCAGATTTAAAAAATTTTCAACGCCTGGCCTGTATGTGGCAAGTACAATAATTATACCGAGTTTGATACAAATTGATGGAACATTTACCGAGATACACATACGCGGTTATAAGTGGGTGGTGCCATGCCCATTTTCAAACATTTTATCATAAACGTATTTTGTGCTAACGAATTATTGCAAACAACAATTGTGAATAAATTAGCTCACGTATTTACTGATTTATCGAAGATTTCGTTATTTTCAAAATCACCGTTATATGCACCCATCATGAGCATTTCATTGCACAAATCGACATGAGTAGAACAAGTGCCCAAGCTTGCCTCGATCTTACGGTAAGTTACATGACGATCATGGAGTATCAGTTCAGGTACGGCATCGATTTTTTTCTGGCAAAACAGCCGAATTTGAACGGCCTTCACGAAATTCCCCCTGTAAAGAAGTGCGACCGCGAAAGACGGTGGTTCGAGATGGTGCCAGTAGTCGAAGCAAGTTGTTCGAGACACTGCTGCTTGTTTAATACATAAACGTCGAAGATAATTGAAAATGTTCATTATTTAATTGCATGATCATGAACAATTATTGAAGTATCTGGAAACAACACCAATAGCATATGTCCGTATGAAAAAATGTTCTGAGTATGTTTACCAGTAAAAATATCAGGGCTCGAATCGTCACATACGATATCGTATTACTCATCACGTAAGAACACAATTTTCGGATTATGACATATGTAAGTGAACGTACTCTTTATCAACTTATACGACTGACGTATCACGTCTTTTCGAGCCCAGACTTTATAATGAAAATGTCACCTTTGACATATTAACATTAGTGTTACAATATTTCATCACTTCAGTATCAACCCCCGTAAAATTCTACATTTTTAAAGTAAATAAACTGAAAAATACACTACCTCTTTAACTTATAATTAATACATATATATATATATATATATACTTTTTTGTGTAAATAAATTTCTACATACAACAATGCTTTTTAAAATAAAGTTTTTTCTTAAAAAGAAACAACACAAACATACCTTCATATGGCACCATAAATCTGAAACAGTCACAACTAAAATTTTTTTTAAATAGAATTTTTTCTTAAAACAGTTCACTCAGCATATTTCTAACGTACACCAAAATTTCTTTTCCCTACTATCTTCCTTAATTGGAAAACCGACTGTTTTTGTTTTGCTTGCGTCGCTTGTTCAGCATCAACAGTTTTTTGCCTCTCCTGAACATTTGGGGTTTTTTGCGTTGTGACTGTTTTTGATTTAGAGTGCAATAGCTTGCCTAAAAATTATTTTACTATTGAAAGTTAAGAATGCCACCTGTCTCCCTCTTTCGTCTACGCTTACAAACTTCAAAATGTTTAAGTAAGATGATTTAAAACATTTTGAATTGAAATTTAGTTTATTTTTCACAATTTTTTCGAACACTGGAATATCTAAGTATGTCTGTAATATTTCTGTAGTTTACGGTGAATAAAGCGACAAGCCGTTTTATAAGCGATGTTAGGTTAAAAGCCCGATGTAATGGAGTAAATCTGATGCAGGATCCGTAAAATATTTGTCTTTTGATTTGTACTAGTGTTCCGCCAGCGGTATTGACTTGAGTCGAGTTAAGGTGAAGTGAAGTGAGTTTAGGTGAGTTGAGCTGAGGTGAGTTGAGCTGAAATAAAATTAGCCCTGTTCGCGCAATAACAAATTAATCAGCTGTTCTTAAGACTTGCAACTTCTTTCTGGTTTTGCGTTTTCGTACTTTCTTGGATATTTCTCTCATTGGGAGTAAATATTGGCTTACTCTCCGAAATTTGGTTATTGACAAGTTACTAGGTATTTTTTGCTGGAGAATACAAAAACACAACTATTAATTCGGGGAGCTGAGTTTGGGTGAGTTGAAGTAAGATAAGGTGAATTGAGTTGAGAAGAAATGAGGTGAGTTCGGCTGAGTG